GCACGCGTGCGTGGTTGTGTTTAACTCCCACATCCTACAGCACTCTCATTATCTTGTACTGACTACAGCACACTCTCTCATTATCTTGTGCTGAGAAGCATGGTTCAACCTTACATGTTATTATGCACTGGTAAATCTGCATGATAGACTTGTTTCATCCACACTTAACGTTGTGGCAGTGAGTAACTTCTGTCAGTAGACTCATCTAGGACTGCATCGGGTTGGGTGACAAGAAGGGTCAGAAAAGCGAGAAACAAAGAGTCCACTCATAACTGGTATCACAATGGAATGAACAAGCAGAGAGACTTAGAAGTCAAGCTACAAAGATCCTTACACTACACATGACTAAAACAAGGACTGGGGTATCAGGAAGTTTTTACTTAAGAAAACAGAAATGGTGTAAAGTCTTCTGTAATAAATCAGATACCTGGATGGAAATAGGTCCAGAAGTCAGTTCCCAAAGGTAACTTAGGAATGTGAGATATAGAAATCATTATTTACTGTACAAGCATTCTTAATGAAAACCTCCTGGTCTTTGAAAACTGTCAAGATTTACCTGGACAAAGAAGTTTCCCGTTTCTATCAATGGGTCTCAAACAGCTGTTCTCAGCTGTGAATGAAAAGAAGGCGATTAACTACTAAGCAAAGAACTCTAAAGCAATGTTCTACTATGTCAATTACAGGAACTACAACAGTCTAACTCCCATACCCCCAAAAGCAAAACTCCAGACAAGCACAGTGTTTCTGTGTTGTGTCTGCAATCTCAGTGCTCACTCTGGAGGCCAAGCAAGAAAAGTCATGCATTCAAGGCTAGCTTCAGTTACACAATGAGCTGCTGTTTCAAAACCAAACCAAAACAGAACACCTCAACAAACAAAAACCAAACCAAACCCTCAAATGTGGATAACCTTCACTTTGCAGTCATGTAAGATACAAATAGCTGGAATGGTTCAGTAGAAAAATTACAACTAGCCAATGACTTTTGCATGTTTTTCCTCAAAACATTAAAAAAAATTTAAGGTTATACATGCATCAGGAAAAGTGAAATGAATACTTACACATGCATTTAAACACTAGAAACAGCAATGAACATTTCTTTCTTGTAAAACACTGATCAAAAGCGGGGTGGTATGTACCCCTACCACAAGCATTTAAGAGAAAGAGGCAAGAGGGTTGCTGAAAATCTGAAGCCAGCCTAGTCTACATAGTGAATTCCAGGCCAGCAAGGGCTAAACAGCTATATCTTGTCTCTAAAACAAGAGCCAGAGAACAGTTGAGTGCAGACAGGGCTGTCTTCCCCTCACGGCTCAGCAGGCAGTGTGCTATGAAGAACTTTCCTGCCCCTCAGCAAGTGCTCTACTTCTGAGTTGAGTTCAGCTAGCTCCCAAGAGATTTAATATTGGGAAAAATCCCTGAGAGCTCCTTCAGTGTGAATGAAGTCTTTCTCTAGCATCATTTCCCCTACGATATTTTGTATTTTGTCACAACTACCATGTGTCACTAAGGTCACTTAGGTCACTAAGTTTGCCTTCAGCAAGTTCCTCAGTTGCATATCTGGAGCCTCTTGAGTGACAGCTATGTCAACATTCCTGTAGACAGTGGCTGCTTCTATACAATGACTTGTTTCTTAGGCTGCTCTCTTTCATGATCCATTCATGTACAATGTCAGGTAGGCTTATGGCTGGGAGAAGAGGTAGCAGAAGGACACTTGACTGTCTGTTTTCAGAAATGCATGAGACATGTATTAGCCAGTTCCTATTGGACTTGAAGAAGGGAAGTGACTGGTCTGTCTGTGACTGCAGAGCTAGTGACTATGGATAGGCTTTAGCTGAATCCTCACTGAAGCCTGAACTGTTTAACTGAAATTCAAGCAAGTGCAAGTGTGTAGAGCAGACCACCTGCATCTCAAGCACACTGAGCAAATGCGTGGGGCCAGTAGGTGCCTGTGAGGATACCTCGATCCTGGGAAAGAAGCTCACTAAGTTTTCAGTCCAAACAGAAGTCTTCTAACGCAAAGTGTGAACTTGGAAGGAAGGCGTGTCCAGACTTTTGAATGGGCAAGAATGGCACAGGCTTAAAATGGTCTAACTTTATTAGAGTGGAGTAGACTTTCTTCCCGAGATTCCTGAGTTCTGTCTTGTGTACTATGTTGTTATGAAGCGGATATACATTTTAAATACAAATTTTTTGTTAAAGAAGTAGATAGAAGTACTTCCCTATTTAAAAGGTAGGTTTTAAATACAGTGCTTTAAAAATTATTTTTTTCAGTCTCAGCTGGGTATGGTACTTCACGCATGTAGTCCAAGTGACCTGGCCTAGTGCAAGAGGGTTGTTCAAGCCCAGAAGTTCAAAGTTGAGGCAATACAACATAGCAAGACAACTCCTCACATCAGCCACAGACAAGCAAACAAAGCAAAATAACTTTTATTTTCAATCAACAAGCACTTTCTGCATGTTCTGTGCCAAGGCACTGGCCTAGAAGCTATGGTACAGAGGTATGCGTGACAGCCATGGACTTTGCCCTCATATAGCATCATCTAATAAGAGAAGTGAATGGTAATGGCACAAATAAAAAATACAGGGTGCTATGAGCAAAGCTGAAAGACTAAGACTTCATGGTCAGAAATAAAAGAGAATATTTAGTTGAAGAACAAATAAACAGCTCAAGTGAGGACATCGAAGTGCAAAGGCAAGGAAGTCCAGAGGTCAGAATATGGTGAGTCTCCAGGTAGATGAGAGCTGTGTAAGGCACTCCCAAAGGCAGCCTGCACAGTTTGCTGTAAGCAGAATGGTGGCAATGAAGTCATAGACAGGCAGATCCTGAAAAAGGCCCCGCAGTCTAGGGTTAGGAGTTAGTGTAGGAGTAGTGAAAAAGCAGAAAGAGGGCTTTGATAGAGGGCAGAATCTAGCTCATGTAGTAGAGAGGATCCCTTGCTGCATGAGACATGGTTGGGGAGAAGAAAAAGCATCAGGATGAGGAAATCAGTTATTGGGCACAGTATTGAGCCAATAAATTTTACTGATGTATTTTCTTTTTTCGAGACAGGGTTTCTCTGTGTAGCCTTGGTTATCGTGGGCTGACTTTGTAGATGAGGCTGGCCTCGAACTCACAGAGATCATCCTGCTTCTGGGTGCTTGGGTTACAGGTGCGCACCACTGAGCCTGGCTGGTAATGATGTATTTTTACTTACAGTAATATCATCCAGTTGTTATTTTTAAATTTTATTTCTGCACATTGGAGTGAGGGTGTCAGATCCCTTAGAACTGGAGTTACAGACAGTTGTGAGCTGCCATGTGGGTGCTGGGAATTGAACCCAGATCCTTTGGAAGAGCAGACCATGCTCTTAACCACTGAGACATCTCTCCAGCACCCAGTATCATCCAGTCCTAAGAGTACAACTTGAAGAGCTTGATAAGCACTCATACACACTAACTATATCACCCTCAAATTTCCCCCACTCTACTCTGCAGTAAACCCCCTCCACCCTGACCTTCACCTGTTTTCTGTGGCATAAACTATTTTTCTAAAACTCGAATTTCCCCCACTCTACTCCACAGTCAACCCCCTATATCCTGACCCTCACCTGCTTTCTGTGGCATAAACTAGTTTTCTAAAATACCTCCTGTGTAGAAACATATGGTTCACACTGTTTGTGTCTACTTTCTTTCATTTGGCATATGGCTGCTGAGACTCATTCCTGCTGTGGTGAGTGCTGCTCTGCAGACAACAGAGACTACTGACTGGCTGCAGCAGTGTGCTTATCCATTCACTTGTTTGCAGATTTTTTCCAGCTCTGAATTCTGAATACTTAATTTTTATAAGGGTATATTTTTATCTTTTCTCCAGTAAATATCTAGAAATAGAACTGGTAAGTAAATGTTTTAATTTATAAGACATACAAAACAAACAAACAAGAAAACTTAATCCTAGCACTCAGGGAGGCAGAGGCAGGTGGGTTGCTGTGAGTTCGAGGCCAGCCTGTTCTACAAAGCAAGTCCAGGACAGCTACACAGAAAAATCCTGCCTCAAAAACCAAAATAAAACAAAACCACAAAAAACAAGACAAAAACAAAAGAAAAACAAAAACAAAAAAACGAACCAACTTGTTTATGAAAAACAATTAAAAGCAAGCAAACAAAACCAATCCTAAGTATTCCAGAGAGAATACAGCACTTTCCACACTCACTGCACACAGGAGCTCCACACTTGGTTTTACTGGGATTGCTGTTACCTATGTGACAGAGGTGCCATGACTTACCTCTAGTGGCTACTGACACTATTCTTCCCTCATAGGCACGTTTCCCAATTTGGGCCGACTGGATTACAAGTACTTTTTGTGAATTCTAGAATTCTATATTCAAATCTAAATGTGTGTTTTCTTAGTTTTTCTCCTAGTTCATAGCTTGCTTTTTCAAATGTCCTTTGAAGAAACCTTGTCATGGCTACTTTGGATAACTGATCTATCTCTCTCTCTACCTACCTACCTTTCTTTCTTTTCCTCTCTCTCTCTCTCTCTCTCTCTTTTTTTTTTTTTTTTTTTTTTTGGTTTTTCGAGACAGGGTTTCTCTGTGTGGCCTTGGCTGTCCTGGACTAACTTTGTAGAACAGGCTGGCCTCCAACTCACAGAGATCCACCTGTCTCTGCCTCCCAGAGTGCTGGGATTACAGGCGTGTGCCACCATGCCTGGCTATATTTTTTATGGTTTGAGTGTGCTTATAAAAATCCTCCTTGCTCTCTTTCAAAAGCAGTCTCTATTTTTATTGAATGTTATATGCATACATATATTCCTAAATACATAAATGCAACCTGCTCAAAAATAATCTTTTCCATATAGTAAAGCCATAGAAATTTTCTTGTATGCTATCTTCAAGAAATGTTATTCTTTTTAATTTTAGCGTTTAGTTCTATACTGTATTTTATGTTAATATTTTAAAAGATGGAGGGTAAAGGAGAAGTTCAGTTTTTGCACATATGGAAGCCAAATGACTCACAGCTGTCTATAGTACACTTGCTTATTCTTCTTCTTGAAACCCTGGTTAAAGGTGCAAAAACTAGTCTTTGTCTACTGTACATGGCACAAAGTGGTTGCACACATACATATGCCAACAGACTGGCGAAGAGCGAGCCTTGAAGCCACACACTGCAGCATTCTTGCAAAGCAGTTGTGGCTACTGTAGGGCTTTTGTTGTTGTTTCTGAGACAAGGCTGCACTATGTAGCCTTGACTGGCTTGGAACTTGCTTTATGTAGACCAGGCTGATCATGTACTTCAGAGAGATCCACTTGCCTCTGCCTCCAGGGTACTGAGACTAACCACACCTGGTTACTTTGAATTCTTTGTTTTTCCATACTCATTTTAGAATGGCATCACCTTCTGAAAAAGAAAACTAATGACCTTGACTGTGCATGCCCTGAATCTAGGGAGATAAGCTCTTAACAATGCTGTGTTTTCTGATTTGTGAACATGGCATACTGTTCCCTTTACTCATGTTTTTTTTTTTTTTTTTTTTTTTTTTTGGTTGACCAGCCTGGTCTACAAAGTAAGTCAAGGACAGCAAGGGATATTACACAGGGAAGCCCTGTCTTGAAAAATCATGTGTTGTTTTTAATTTCTTTCTGTATGTTTTCTAGTTTTCAATGTATAGACCCCATATACATTTTTACAAATACATCGTTGATAATGAATTATTATTATTATTTAGTAAACATATCAGGGCAAGCACATAGGAGGCTGAGGCAGGAAGATTCTGAGTTCCAGGTTGGCCTGAGCTATATAATGAGACCCATCCAAAAAAAAAAAAAACCAAAAACACAAATAAATAGTTTTCATGTCCATTTCGTTTCTGCTGACAGACACAAGTTCAATGAATTCCTGCATATTAATGTTGAGTTCTTGCATTTAATTAGATACCATTATATTCACTAAAATGACAATGAAAAGGGACAATCACAAACATTAACAAGGACTTGGAGAAAATGCAGCCATGACACACTACTACTAATGAGATGGTAAATGCTTCAGCCACTTTGGAAACCATATGGTAGTTTTTAATGAACTAAAGAGAAATTTGCCAGGTGACCCAGTATTATAATGTTGTAAGCCTGAATGCATATGCCCACATGATGATTCGTGTCCAAGTGTGCACAGCAGCATTATTCCAAAAAGCTAATGAGATATGAACATTTTTACAACTGAATGGCAGTCAGCACTAAAAGAGAATAAACTACTGGAAAGTTCTCAATAATGGAGAGACTTCAAAGACTAGTGTGCTAAGCAAGAAGACGACATAAAAATCTACATAAAAAACATAAAAAGCACTGTGGCTACATTTAAATGAAATGTCCAGAAAACGAGCTGACAGAGGCCCAAGGATGTTTCTGGAGCAATAGGTATATTCTTAAACTGGACTACGATGTTCTACAGCATACATTCGTAACTGTCACTAAATTCCACACTCAAGATGAGTGGATTTGATAATAAACATATAAATAGACTTAAGGATACAATGTATAGTACATTGTGAGTACTCTTGAGTCAGATATCTCATTGTCTTGGGGAGAAAGGAGGGCAAGGTTTGAGGAGAACACAGAGAACTCTTTATAGGTTTCAAATAAAAATATACACATGAAAAATATTAACATTTGTCCATTTTGGGTGGTAGGTATGAGAGATTTCCTTAAATTATTTTTTGTACTCTTCCACATTTTTTAATAAAAAATTAAACTAAAAACCAAAAAGCAAATGGAAATGATTACCTAGTTCCTTCATTAATTTTAATTCCTTTATGGCTTTAATTCGAATATCAAACACCACCTAAAATAGAGAAATAAACTAATGACTGTGTATCAGTTGAATGGATGAAGATGAAAATGAAGATTATCGTGTAAATGGATAGTCACTATATCGTGATTATAGTGTGTACGGAGCTCATTTGAGATATTCCCTGACATTTGTTTTGCCTACAGAGATCTTTAGACATCCCTGACATTATTCAATTAAGATTGAAAGCAAAAGCTGAGAATAGATTTTAATAGTTAAGTTTTTACCAAACTGATGTTAACTGGGACAAAGGGTATCACAGAAAATGATGAAATAGTTCTCGCTGGAAACCAATAAACTGACAACCACTCACCTGATAAGAGTCAAGGATGAAGAACAGTGGAGAGGCCCATACCTTACAATGGGGACAATGGATCTGGGTACCCGGAAGAGAGTACAAAAATACGTAACAGCAATCCAAAATGACTATGGCTTCCACTTAAATGACTTTTTAGATTCTTTCTCTTTTTAGCCTACTTTAGGTCAATATCCTTTAGGGCATTAAATACTGGTAAAAGTCGGAGGTAAGTGATTTCAGAAATCATGTACTTGATCCCCTACCACATGGTGTCAAACAGCAGCAGACTCAAGTGACAAAGGACACTTTCTGCTCATGATCAGGTACTAGTGTGCACTGATTTTAGACTATCCTTCTAAGAATACCAACAAATATAATGCTCCTTAAGATATTATAATGCCAAGGACTAGTAAGATGGCTCTCGAGGGATAGCGTCTGCTGCCAAGCCTAATGATCTGAGTTTGATCCTTGGAACCTGCATAGTGGAGGAAGAGAAGCAACTCCCAGGTTGTTCTCTGACCTTCACATGCATGCCTGTCCCACAGATAAAAACTGTAAAGAAAAAAATTAAAGAAATTATGAAAGGATATAAAAGAAAACATCTTAGTTTCTTTTACTTTGCTATACAAAATAATAATAATAATAATAATAATAATAATAAAAAACAAGTAAAATAAGATGTTTCTTAGCTGGGTGTGGTGGCATATGCTTTTTTTTTAATCCCAGAACTCAGGAGACAGATGCAGGGATCTCTGAGTTTGAGGCCAGCCTGATCTATATAGGGAGTTACAGGACAGTCAGGACTACATAGAGAGACCTTGATTCAAATGTCACCCTCCCCAAACAAACAAACAAACAAACAAACAAAAAAGTTACCTGAAATTATCTTTAACAAAATCAGAACCACAGTCTTCAAAAGGAGCTGGAAGAATACCTTTTAAGGGCAGTTGGTTTTACATGGGCACAGTGTATTATATAAAGAATGATTTAGGATAAAAACAAAAAGTTGGCAACACAAAAAGCCAAAATAACAAATAAACACATGTGCTTTAAAAAGATGCAGAGAAGATCCTTGGCAATAGCTCTTCATGCTTATCAAATCCAGAGGACTCCAAGAGCCATCCAGGTGAGTCCCACATTCTAGTTCTAGGCTTCTAGGCTTAGAAGCTTAAAAGAAGAGCATATGCTGCTTTGAAACAGGCCACTGGCTGAATTAAGTAAATAAGCAGTTATAAAGGTAATAAGACTTTAGACATCTATTGACACAGTTGTTCTGAAAGATTGCCTCTGTTTCATAAATAAAAATTCTGTCACTGGACACTGCCAGCCAGGCTAATGGCCATCTACTCACTGTGTGCATAGTCACGGCTATCTGAACCTGCTTCTCTTCAGATTCTAACTGGCAGAAATTTTTCACTTGGAGCCAGTTGAGCTCATTCACACTGTTGGTCCATCTCCCTTGTTTGGGCAACAGACTGTAAGTAAATAAGAAAAGACATTGAGACAGTGAGTCCTCACAAGACACTTTTCCTTGCATATCACTTTCCTCTAAAGTAACTAAGGAAGAGGACTTGAAACTGCCACATGTTACCTTTTTAGGGTTATATGAGGTAGCAGTCCATGGAGCTGGTTTTCATGGCTCGAGATCCCAAGGTAAATGATTTGTGCCTGTTTTCAAGGGGATTTTTTTTTTTTTTTTTTTTTTTTTTTGAGATAAGGATATAAGCCCAGGCTGGTCTTCAACTCACCATTCACCATGTAGCCAAGGCTGTCCTAAACCTCCAAGTGCTGGGAAGACAGAGATGTACCACTCCACCCAGATTCAAGGGTCACTTCTCTAAAGGAATGGACAGCTCGTATCTGCCTGCACAGGAATCCCTAGGGTAGCTTTAGAAGACTATCAAGGCCTGCCCATTGTGATCTAAGTTTTAGTTAACAGAAGGGCAGCTGTATACACATGTGCAGACTGACAGTGCACAAAAGTACTATACAAATGCAGTCATACACATCATATATTTGTATTTCATTGAAGAGTTTTGTTTATTATGTCAGCAACTGGCAGTAAAGTATTTTATCCTAACAAAATCTTCCTTATGGGCTGAAAAAAAAAGGGGGGGCTATCAAAAACCCTTTTAGGGAGTGCAGAGATTTGACACCTGGTCTCCAACTGGCAGAAATGTTTGGGAAGGATTAGGAAGTATATTCTTGTTAGAAGGGGTGTGTCACTGGGGACAGGTTTGAGATTATAAAAGCCCACACCATGCCTAGTCTTTCTCCCTCTCTCCCTCAACAATCCCACTCCTCTCTCTGTTTCTGCCTCCTACTTATGGATAATTATGGTTGTAAACTCTCAGCTGCTGCCATGCTCCCTGCTGTGATGGTCATGGACTCTCTGGAAACAGGAGCCTCAAATTAAATACTCTTTTATAAGTTGCCTTGGCCACGCTATCTTATCACCCAAACATAATTGTACTCTTTACTTCAGTTATTGTAACCTGATACTCCACCTCAGAAGGTATAACAAAGATTGAGTTGAAGGGTATATAAGACAGTGTGGAGAATAAAAAAGAATATTTCCTTCTGAGAAGTCAGCTTAGTAGGAAGGTCAGCTAGGTGCTTTCTCTGCCTCTCTGAGCTAGAATGTTTTCACCCCAGCATCTGGCTCCTGAGTCTTCATTGGTAAAATCAAACAATTGGGATTTTATATTTTAAATACGGAAATCTTCAAAAGGAGGTTCACGAAGTCTACAAACATATGTGGGATAAGCAGGACATACCTCTTTATCAAAAAGATAATCATTAGTACGCTTAAAAAGACAAAAATCTTCTAAACAATGATTTCAATCTAGAAGAAAAGGAAAACCACCAGACACTAATAGTGACCAAAACTGCATCCCAATAGAGGGCCAAGATCACCATTGTTCTTTCTTCATTTCCCAAGTCCTACTAAATGTAGACTGTGTACAAAAAAGAGCACATGAAGAACCCTCAGATGGCTCAGCTGGTGAAGCACTGGACCTTATGTGTGCAGGTATGGGGTTCAAACAAGAGCACATGATTCACTCTTATACATTGCAGAATATCTCTCCTGAGAGGTAACAGAAATAAATGGACCACAAAAGCCCAAAGAGATCTGCTTCTCAGCACCTCACACAGGCTACAAAAATGCACTGACACAGACAGAGGAGCAAGAAGGTACAGTGCTTCAGAGTTTAGCGTTTCAAATATGGCTACAGGATTTTTTTGGGCAACTGTCCTTTTGGGAAGGCTGGGTGCCTCCCAAGTCATAGTGAAGATCACAAGAAAAGTCTGAATTGTCCTCTCAATCAGTTTTTCCTTCTGAAAATGGGCTTTTAGTTTTATCACTTAATCAGAATTCACCCGATAGAACTTTGTCTTATATCTACTAGTCAAAGACATATTTATAACAGTTTTTTTTTTTAAGTTATGCAATCCTTTGTACAGTATTTAGGAGTTAGGCCTGATGCAATAGCACTTTTGATGTGGAGGCAGGTGGATCAGGAGTTCAAGGTCAGCTTCAGTCTGGATTACACAAGATTTTATCTCAAAAGTAAACAGCAGGAGATGGTATAGCAGGTGTGGATAAAGGTATTTATGACACAAGCCTGACAACCTGAGTTTGATCCCTGGAACCAGGTGGAAGGAGGTACCATCTCCACAGCATTGTCCTTTGACTTTTAAATGTGCGTGCAAGCATACGCATGTGCGTGCACATGAGCAGGAGTGCACACACGCGCGCACACGCGCACACACACACACACACACACACACACACACACACACACATTACTTTTTTAAAATGTTGCATGTTTTATTATTTTTTAAAAAGATTTATTTATTATGTATAAAGTGTTCTGCCTGCGTGTGTGCCTGCATGCCAGAAGAGGGCACCAGATCTTACTATAGATGGTTGTGAGTTACCATGTGGTTGCTGGGAATTGAACTCAGGACCTCTGGAAGAGCAGCCAGTGCTCTTAACCTCTGAGCCATCTCTCCAGTTCCCACATATTAATTCTTAAAGTATAAACATCAATAAAATACAGTCTTTAAAACTCAATGGCCAGAATAAAAGAACATTTAATTAATTAATTAAAATAAAGCTCTTGAGTTCTAATGGGTAGTTCTGTAATTAAATTACTTTGAAAGCTCTCCTTGTTTCTCTCTTTAATGAGTTACCTGTTATCACTTTCTGAATCCTGAACCAAAATTAAGCTTCCATTTCTGAGACCTTGTTCTCTCAATGTTGTCTTCATGTCTTCCTTGGGAATAGCGGTCCAGTATTCTTCATCTGCAGACTCCACACTGTTCATGAGGATGACGCCTACTGGGATGGCCAAGGCTGTGAACACACTGCCCACTTCTGCATTAGCTGGAAAGACATGTGCCGACTCCACCAACTGCTCACATTTTGAGCTGTCACCACTCATTTCCAGATGAAGAATGTGTAAAAGCACAGGCTCACAATCAGAACCAGTCTGGATCTGGACTCCACCAACCTGCAACAACATCCACATAACCACTAGTGAAGTTTATATTTGCCAACTTGAAAACAACAACAGTGGGGCTGGAGAGATGGCTCAGAGGTTAAGAGCACTGGCTGCTCTTCCAAAGGTCCTCAGTTCAAGTCCTAGCAACCACATGGTGGAGCAGAACCATCTGTAATGAGATCTGGTACCCTCTTTGGAATTCGGGTGTACATGCAAGCAGAGTATTGTATAAATAATAAAAAAAAAATAAATCTTAAAAAAAAAGAAAACAACAGCAGCAGCAACAACAACAACAGCAACAAAAAAAAACAAAAAACCCTACAGCAAAAGCCTATTCTTATAGTACAACCCACATTTTCCCCAAGTTCTTCACATTGCCCTTTAAGCAGTGAAAGAACAACTTTAGATTTTATGTTGAAAAATGTCTCTTATCTACCTTTTCTGACTTTAATGTAGATATTCAGGGAGTGTTAAATGGTGGCAATGAGCCTCTGGAAACCCAAAGGACCAAAGACCGGCCACAGGGCAGCTGAGATGCTCATCCCTCCTTTCTGAGATAGCATTCACTCCTGTTACCCCTACCTCTCCAGTCCTCCTCATTCCCGCAGATGTCACACACCCTATAGCCTATGGTGCAGTTATTTGCACAAGAAGCTGCTGACTAACTTGCCCCTGCATCCAGCATGTGGCGCACAGTCTGGTAAAATGGAGGTGCTTATGAAGTTAATTTTGACCGTGTGCATTTGTGCATACAGGTGCATGCATGTGTGTGTACAGCTAAGATGGCACCCAAGATCATGGGTGTACTTCATTTTTTTCTTTTCTTTTTTTTTTTTTTGAGGCAGAACCCTCAAGCAGAACCCACCAAGCAGGCTAAAATAATCTGGCTGGCCAGTGGCCCCAGTAATAGCACAGTCTCTGCAGTGCTATTACAAAAGCATGTCACCATACCTGACTTTTTTTTTTTTAACATGGGTTCAGGAATCTAACTCAGGTCCTCAAGCACTTTACCTATGAAAATATCAAAATATTTCTTTAATCATCTAACAACTACCATTGACTGGACCTCAAGGTACTGAACATTCCAGCAGTATCCTATCTTCCCTTTTTCTTTTCCTTCCCCTTCTCTGCTTGCACCTCCTTTGGGTTTCTGAGACAGTTTCTTCTTCACTGCATATCTCAGACTAGCCTGAACTTGCTATGCAGTCCAGGTTGCCCAGCTTCAGTGGCTCTTCTACTTCAGGCTCCCTGAATCACATGTACATCACTATTCTCAGTTCATTCCAGCATTTTCTTAATGTCTAACTGCATGCTGAATAAAATTTCATTACAATGACTTTTTGTTGGTGGTGGTGTTTGTTATTTTTTGTACTGAGACATAGTCTCATGTTGCCTCGGTTGTCTGTTGGTAAAATGTTCTTGTGGAATGTATACAACTTACCCTTGTTCACTGCCAGATACCCTACTATCTGGTTTCAATCTGGACATTGCATTGTTATGTTTATTCTAAGCATCACCGGTCTCAAGTTTGCATGCTACCACTTGTTGTCTGTATTGTCAATAAAACAATCAGCCAATGCTGAGCAATGGAGAGAATAGGGTGGGACATCCTGGTCCAGAGGGGAGGAGAAAGAAGTGAGTGGGAAGAGCCGCAAGAGAGACCAGCAGGAGAGGACTTGGAACCATGAGGGAGATGAAGCAGACCTGAGATACAACTAAAAGCAAGTATAATGTGGGAAATCTGAATGGGAGGAAACTGCAGGCTTGGAGGTTTAGGATGGAGTAATTATTGCTCAGCATTGTGCTCTAGGTTAATTAAATAAATCCTAGTTATCTTGTGTGGTGATTTGGGTGTACAGCTGGTTTAGGAATAACCACTTTAAATAAAAGATAAATCAATATTAAATATTAATAACCCACAACAGTTGTCCTTGAACTTGATAGGTTGCTGAGGATGACCGTGAACTTTGATCTTGCCTCTACTTTCTGAGTGCTGAGGTTACAAGTGTGTGCCACCATTATACTTAGTTTTATGTAGTACTGGTGACGTGTCTGGGCCTAGGGCTTTGTGTATTTTAGGCAAACACTCTATCAACTGGGCTCATTCCCAGCCTTGCAGTAGAATTGTAGAACACTTTCAATTATGAATATTTCTTCAGCCATATTTCTTACCTCTACCCCGTTCCATACAAAGATGTCTTCCCCATCAGCAATTTCAGCTTCACACAGTGTCAGTTCATCTCCTAGAAACATAAGATATTCAATTCACTCCCCATGACCACCAAATGCAGCTAAGCTAAAGAGAGCCACAACTCCCCAATATACATTTGAAAAGGCACTTACTAAAGAAAATCATAAAAGCAGTAACTATTTTATATATTTTTTAAAATATGAACCATTATACAGCTTTGTGAGCACAGCAGCGCGACATGGAGGCACACAGAGGTCGACAGTCAGGCCCATGTCACCTGAGATTAGGCGGAGACTCCAAACGACCCAGATCACCACTGAACTGCTGTAGGTGTCAACTGTTACAGCATTTGGCAGAGTGGAGTCCCAAACGTATGTTACTGTACTACTCTTCTTAACATTGGTTTGTTATTTTGGAGAAATAAGTGCCTTGAAACTCTCAACTTGTCTTTATCTGCTAGAAAATCTGAAGCTGAGAGAGTAAAGCCATGTAAATAAGATTCTAATGGTTTTAAACCATTTTGCACAATCATTTGTGGTAATGTATACACACACACACACACATACATATACACATATACTGTATATACACACACATATATGTTTTAAACCTAAAGCACTTTAAAGTTTTGGTAGGAACGTGCCTTAGTTTAAAAAAATATATATATAAAACATTCCATATTGAGTAGATTTTACATATATACTGGATAGACTGCTTCTTTAAAACTGACAATGTAAGCCAGATGGTGGTGGTACACACCTTCAATTCCACCACTTGGGAAGCCAAGGCTGGTGGATCTCTACAAGTTCAAGGCCAGCCTGGTCTACAGAGGGAATTCCAGGACAGCCAAGGTGACACAGAGAAACCCTGTCTGGGAAAACTAAAAGCTAAAAACAAACACAATAAAACTAAACAGAACACCTGAGAATGCGGTCAGGTGTAACCCTAATCTATGCGGTCAAAAGACAGAAGGGCTGGTGAGATAGCTCAGTGGGAAGACACTTGCTGTAGTCTGATGATCTAGGTTCCATTCTGGGACCAATACTGTGCAAGCCAAGAATCTATTCCTGCAAGTTGTATTCTGATTTCTAAAGGCTCCTGTGCTTCCATGGCCACATACATGCATTCATGTATATACATCCTCTCCCTCCCATCCCACACCCTCCCACACAGATAAATGTAATCTTAAAAAAATGAAGGTAGAAGGCAGAGAAGGACTGACAGGACAAATTCCCAAAGATATACACACAGAAGGAGTTGTTTTGTTCCTTACTGATCTTACCATCGAGAGTATGGTACACATGAAGTCCTGCTGGCACACGCTTTGCAATGCTGAGAACCATATCGCCTTCCCAAAGTTCCAACAGCTTAAGAACATTAAGAGTGAGAAAACAATTAGCTGTGACATATGAATAGCACTCCTGACTCAGTAAGAATAGCAAATGAATACTCCCATCCCCAACCAACACCAACATTTTAGAAATAAACATCATTTGATGAATTACCCAAACCCAAAGATGTTGACTGCATCCATCACTGACTGAAGACTTTGATATGTAAGGAAAGACCCCAAAAGCCATCTAAACAATCTTATGTAAGGACTGCTTTTCTTGGAAAGCTGACTGCTCAGCAAGCTGGCCTAGGAATTTCTGCCCTGAATAGCTATGGCATTGCTTAGGAAAATGACACTGGCTCTGGCCCACATGAATGTTCCAGGGATGCAAGAAAGGAAAGCCCCACACTCTAATTTAAAAAGTAGCATTTTGGGCTGAGGCATAGTTCTGTGGTACAGCATATTTGCCTAGTTTGCATGAGGCTCAGTTTTATCCCAGCACCACACACATACACAAGCATAGCATTTGCTATATACTAGGTGGACAGCTGTTTGCTAAGTTTGTAAATCTGAACCTGAGGTCTACAGGAACTTCACAGAAATAATATCAGAGTGATGTTTCTCCTCTAGTCTTTATAACATTCTAAGATATTTTGCTTTAAAATACAAGATATTTGTCTTTATGAGATATTTGTAAGTCATTTACTGAGTCAATTTTCCAGTTCCCCGACAGTGGCTTATGCCTAAGTTAACTGTTTGTAGAGATGTTTGCCTGACATACTAGACAGCATAGAGCCTAAACTTAAGAGACATATTGGGCCTTTTCCACTTGAAACACCCTCCACAGGCTCAGAGCAGCAAGTTGCTGAGCTTAACTCTGCCAGAACAGACTCAGAAATGAACATATACAGGCTTCTAGAGAGCCTGCTACTACAGCTGCACGTACTACATATAAACTAACTAAAGCAAAATGATAGTGGTTTGTTTTTATTTAGAAAATAAAAGAAAAAGCTGATATTTTTGGTGATAGATACAAATTTTTAGAGAATTCACTTAAATTATTTCTGAGGCAGCCTTAACCCCAACTTTACATTTTCTTCTTCCTTTTCTTTTTTTGAGCAAACTTACTGCATAGTGGAGGCTGACCTTGAATGCCTGATCTTCCTGCCTGCACCTTGAGAATGCAGAGATTATAGACTGTGCCACCAACCTTGGCAAGAGTTTACATTGCTAAACTTTTCATCAGGAAGTAGTATGGGGTGAGGAAGTGGAGCAAGGGACAGAACACCAGGTAGAAGAGAGGGAGATCAGAACTGTGGTCCTAGTGCTACCATAGCAACTAGATGCCTGTGCATTGGCAACATTGGATGTTTTAAGATATAATTTCGTCTTCAGAATGAAGCTGGCTCAGCCTGATGAGGCTGAAGGACCAAATGAAATGATGTTTATGAAAGCACTGTAAGTAAAAATAAGGAGCATCTCCACTGTCCTGTGATTGACACAGGCAGAAAAATGGCCTGGACATGAATACTAGATGAAAATCCTTGTCTGGTAAATCACATCTGGTAAATCCAACACTCAAGAGGCTGAGGCAGGAGGAGTACTATGAATCTGAGACCAGCATGAGCTATAGAGTGACACCATCTCAAAAACATTAGAAACAAGAACTAAATGTTAAACAAAATTATCTGTTTAGAGCTTACTTAGCATGGTCACACCAGAACAACAAATATGAATACAAGTAGTCAAGCGATCTTATACCAGAATATAAAACTAGTTAATTTTTCAATGGTTCTTGTTTTAAGTAATAGTTCAACATTTCCTCTTATTTCTTTTGAGAAGAAATTCTCTTTCATTTGTTTTCCAAAAATAGAGACAACTTTACTCTGTCATCCCCTGTTTCCAATTAAAATATACCAGGCTCAATTAGTCACTTCAAAAGCTGCTGAGAAAATACACAGAAAAGCATTTCTGAAGACTTACAAACATCAGCAGCGGTGGCACAAACTGGTGATCCCAGCCAGCATGTACGGAGCTGATGTGGGAGGACTGTGGTTTCAAGTCTAGCTTGGGCAATACAGTAAGATACTAACAAATTAAATCAACCATCCAACCAACCAAACAGAAAACACAACAACAACCTGGCTTCCAAGTAAGAGAAAGTTTGGTTCATGCACTGGCAGATGTAGGATTTTCCTATGAAGCTTTGGAAAAATTGTAACTTGAATAAGATGAAATGGAAAAAAAAAAATCAGCCTGAAATGGACCTTAATGTTTTTGCTATGAGAAAAATAAGTATTACCTGAAATATTGCCTGACGGAGATCTCCTAAAGTTTTTCTTTTGTCAAAAGTCAAATCCCATACACTATCTGTCTGAGAGACTGTAGGGTGAAGAGCCCCATTGAAGAAATGGTAATGAGGACCCAGGTGGAGATGCAATTCAAAATTATTGTTTGCAGAGTCACATTCTGCCCTTTAGAGACATAAAAACAAACAAACACACACACTGTTTTAGTAACACTCTTTATCTCCAACCAGAAATACCTGCCTTACCATACACAGAAGTTCTCCATTCTACGTTGTCAACACCTTTTTCTTCTGCTTTCAGCACACATTTAGCTGGAACTGCACCATGAATTCTAAGAGAAAATTGTTTCCATGGAGACTGTATGTTAATCATCTCCAATCCTGTCACAGCTATGGAAAAAATTCTGGACACCTGCTCATGTATTCAGAGGTGGACTCCCAATTTCTACATCATCTTGACATCCACCAGGCTCCTGAGACTTACTTTCCCAGAAGATACTGACAGCTGTTAAAGAGATCCTCCCCAGTGACAGGCTGGTCCCTGCTCCTCTCTGGTGCACTTCACTGACTTAAAGCCTGATTACAAACTGGTTCCCCTAGGCAGGATGACCAGTGCTGGGCTAGAATGAGGCTGTCACTGTGACTCAGAACTTCAGATGCATTCTAAGCTGGTCAACAGGAACACTAGGTTTTTCAATGGCCACACTAAGGACTTTAGTTTTAGCTTTTGCCATTTTGTTTTAAATTTTTAAGTTGCAACTGCCAACCCAGGTCACTGATGCAGGCTGTTTTGTGTATTTAACATGTTTTAATATTTTAATTTTTATTGAGAGTTCCATTGATCTTGGTGTGTCATTCACTGGACCTGCTATTTCCATGCCCAGTTTCAAGTCCGTGTTATAATTTCTAAACTCAGCTTGCTACATTATCTGCCCCTGTTCCTTCCCCCAACACTCTGCTGACACCACTGGAGAGCAAATACAGCAGCTCTAGAGCCCAAGGTTAGCCATGTTCTTAAGTCATGCCTTCAGTTATTGTAAACCTTTATTTTTATTTTAGGTATTTTGCCTAGATGTACACAAGTACATATCTATGCATATATACCTATATCTATGCACATACACATACATATATACATACATACATATCTATCTATCTATATGGCCATGTGTATGCAGTACCTGTGGAGGCCAGAAGATGACACAGGATTTCCCCAGAACTGGAGTTACAGATAGTTGTGAACTGTGATGTGGGTACTGGGAAGTAAACCTGGGTCCTCTGGAATAGCAGCTAGTGCTCTTAACCACTGAGCCACCTCTCCATCCCTGTCATTGCTACCCCCCCCCCCAACTGTCACAAGGCAGTTTGGAGTAAACCTATCTCTAGTCTTCTGTCACCGTATGTCAGTTCTTACAACTACTTAAAACTGAGGGGCAGTTTTATCAACAAGTTCCCTGTAAACTCAAGGGCATAATTTGGCCAGGCTACAGTACAATTCTTGTAGCACAACTGCATGATTGTCAATTTCTCTAGATTTCCTAGGCTCTGATCCATACTTAGCAATGGTTACTGTATGTTACTACTCAATCTTATGCATGGATAAATAATATATTTAACTATAACTAGCTGATAAGTATACATATTTTGGTAAACTTTCATATTGAATACTTAAGTCCCAAACTGATCAGTATTTTCCAGAAACATTATCCAAACACCAAATGTAAATCAAAATACCTTTGCATTTGCAGTTGAATGTTAGCTGCATCCATTTCCTTCAGCAAATGATATGGAACCCTGTATCTTGGGTTGGCTCGAGCTGTGAACAAAACTGTCCATTAATTTATTTTGACTAAACAAAATTGTGCTGCTAAAGAGGCAGGATGAAAACCTGAACTCAGGTGTGGTAATACATACCTGAAATCCCAGCACTGGGAAGGCCAAGGTACAAGGATCTTTAGTTGGAGGCCAGCCTGGGCCATACTGGAAGCCATTCTCTCAAACAAATATGGAGGGGCTGAAGAGATTGCTCAGAAGATAGGTGTGCTTGATGCTTTTCCATAGGACTGGAGTTTGGTTGTTATTACACCAGGCAGCTTACAACTGCCTGTAATTCCAGTTCTAGGGTATCTGATGCCCTCAGACACCTGCATGCACCTGGTGTACATAAATGCACGCAGGTGTGTGCACATGGAAGTAAGAGGGCGTGCACGTGCACACACACACAGCCCTATGCTGGAAGCCAGGAGCACTATCACTGACTAGCTCAGTGAAAACAGATTTTTCTCTTGATCTTAGTTTTGCTAGATGAGCAAATAAAAAATAAAAAAAACAAACTAAAAAGATAAATGAGAAATAGTTTTTTAAAAAACTGATCTAGAAGAACCTGAATGTTTCAACTCTCCTTAAGCATTTTTTAAGAACACCCACTATTTTTGTCCCAATTATAAATTTAACTTTAACAGTAAATTTAAATTTTACTGTAGAAATTCAGAAATCAGGGCTGACGGTGGCTTCGCAGTTAAGACCCACTCTTAACTGGCTGCTCTTCCAGATGACACAGGTTTGGTTTCTAACACCCACATGGTGGGCAACAACGCCCTGTAAGTCAAGTTCTAGGGAATCCAATGCCCTTTTCTGACCTCTCAGGGCACCAGGGACATATCACCATATCACACATACAAGACAAAACTCTCATATACTTAAAATACATACATCCTTTTAAATTCCAGGAACCATACTACCTCATTTAGATGTTTTGAGACAGGGTCTCACTATAACCTGGCCTAAAACTGACTATGTAAGTTGGGTTGGTCTTGAACTCACAATCTTCTTGCCTCAGCCTCCCAAGTATTGGGGTTATATGTATGAGTCACCATGACTAATCTGAAAATTATTTTCAAAGTACATTACTTACCTCACTTCCAAGACATCACCCACACATATTTTTAATGTACAGTTTTGCTAAACATTCTTTTTTTTAAATGATTTATTTATTTAAATCAGTATGCAATGTGTTTGCATGTACACATGCACGCCAGAAGAGGGCACCAGATTTCATTTTAGATGGTTATGAGCCACCATGTGGTTGCTGGGAACTGAACTCATGACCTTTGGAAGGGCAGCCAGTGCTCTTAACCTCTGAGCCATCTCTCCAGTCGGCAAACTGGTAGCTTGACTGTTCACTTCATATTCCCACAGGCTTAAATATGTGATTGCACGGTACTGTACTTAATTAAAGTATTAAGTCTAATGTTTTCTTTCATTTGAAAAAAATTATTACTTAATGTGTATGAGCTTTTTGCCTGCCTGCATGAATGTCTCTGTAGAACTGATGTTTCTTGTGCCCTTGGGGACCAGAAGAGGGTATTAGACTCCCTGGAACTGGAATTGCAGACACTTGAAAGCCATTATGTGGGTGCTGGGGATCTCTTCAGATCCTCTGAAGAGCAGCCAGTTTTCTGAACCACTCTGCCATCTCTCCAGATCCTAACTAACTTTTTTTCTGTTATATATTTTGGTGGTTTGAAGAAGAATGGCCACAAAAGACTCATGGATTTGAAGGCTTGGTCACAGGGAATGCCAATATTAGAAGGTGTTGCCTTGTTGGCACAGGTGTGGCTTTCTTGGAGTAAATATGTCACTGGGGTGGGCTTTGGGGTTTCAATTGTTCAAGCCAGACGCAGTGTCGCTCTCTCTTCCTGCTGCCTGTGATCTAGATGTAGCACTCTCAGCTACTCTCCAGCACCACGTTGGCTTGCATCCACCATGATTCATTCCCACTACGACAATAACGGACTAAACCTCTGAACTGTAAGCCGGTCCCAATTAAATGTTTTCCTTTATGAAAGTTACTGTGGTTATGGTGTCTCTGCACAGCACTAAAACCCTAGCTTAGACAGATAGGAAGGTGATTTCTAACTACTCATGATTATAAAAATCATGTTGGCAACAAATTCCTTTAAGAATTAAGTATTCATCCACTTCTCTGACCTCCTTTTCTCTTGCCTCACTTCAATTTACAGCCCGCTAGGCTGCAGGGTTACTAGGCTGCCCAGGCTGGCTTTGAAATCATTCTATTGCCCAGTTAGACTGTGAACTGTAATCCTCCTGCCTTACTTCCTGAGTAGCTAGGATTGTAGGTCTATGCCACTAGGCTGGGATCTCTTTTCCTCCTTCTAAAGACAAACTGTTTCTGGTTAGCAGTTGTTAAGCGTATTCAAGATCTAGAAAGTTATTTTTTCTTTAATTCTCATGAAAATTAATAACTTTTATTTTTGCTGGGGGAGGGGGGAGTTGAGACAGGGTTTTTCTTTGTGGCCTTGGCTGTCCTGGACTCACTTTGTAGCCTAGGATAACCTCAAACTCACAGAGATCTGCCCACTTCTGCCTCTTGAGTGCTGGGATTACAGGTGTGTACCACCGTGCCTGGTACTGTTTTATTCTTTATAAAAACTAGTTCCATTTTCTCAGAACATTTTTGTCTTACTGCTGTTCTAATCTAAGAAGGTTTTTCCTTTTTTGGAAACAGGATCTCAATAACCCTGGTTAGCCTGAAATTTGCTAAAAAATCAGGCTGGCCTTGAATTTACAGAGAGATCTGCCTGCCTCTGCCTCCCAAGTCTTGGGATTAAAGGTGTAAACCAACACACTTAGCAGCTTTTTATTTTTGAGAGAAATTTGGCAAGGGATCAAATAAACCTACTGACTTATTCATTATATTTCCACTATAAATATTCTTTATTATGATAAGGTTGAGACTGTTAACTTATAAGATAGGAGCTCTCTCAGAAGGTTTAACAACATGCTTCAAATATATTTTAATTGCTCAAGAACATAATACTTTGAGGAAAAAGTAGAGATGGAAATATAAAAACAAAGGTAAGAAAACAAGACCAAGACCACTTACAGCTCAAAGGCAACACACGGCTGAATGACAAAGGCAAGCCTAATCAGGTTTGGCACCACAGTAACAACATACATCACCCAAGATAGTTCAATTTTGGAAAATGTAAATACGAGCAAGGGAAGAAAAAATGTCAGACATTTTCTCACAAAATGACAAACTGAAAAATAAAGTATGAGCTTCTGCTGAAATAAAGAAATATGTAAGTAAGAAAAACTTAAATGACAAGCTGATACATTTTATTTGGCACGGTATACTTCCATTAGTTTTAAAATACGTAAAATCACCCAGGCAAAAAAAAAAAAAAAAAAAACCTCATCAAAACACAGGACTTCAGGCAGCATGTGATGCTTATCTGCTGAGGTTATTAACAACACAGATCTGAACATTTCTCTTTCCATACCTTCAGGGGGTCGCAGCAACTTGGCTTTCCGATAAAACAGCATGTAGGCACTTTCTTTACCCTGGAACTGCTGTGTGATATCTTTCTCTTTAATTGGCTGGACTTTGGAATCATTGATATCAAACCAGTGGGGGCAACTGGTGTTGTCATTTAAGCCCGCGGTCTCTGAAGTAGGTATATGTAGAATCTGTTCAGGGTTCCTTAGGAGATCAGACGGGGCCTGGGTTAAATGGTTCCTCAGGAGACTGACTGTACTTTCATCTATGCTGAGCAGAAACACATGAGGATGGAGCTGTAAGAACTATTAAAAACAAACAAAAACAAAGATTAGGTTTCTCAAAAAAATTCTTTTAATTTTTAATTTTTTTTTATTAATTACAGTTTATTCACTTTGTATTCCGGCTATAGCCCCTCCTTCCTCCCCTCCCAATCCCAGCCACCCTCCCTCTTTTCCTCTTATACCCCATCCCCCAGTCCACTTATAGGGGAAGTCCTCCTCCCCTTCACTCTGACCCTAGCCTATCAGGACTGGCTGCATTGTCTTCCTCTGTGGCTTGGTAAGGCTGCTCCCCAATCAGGGGAGGTGATCAAAGAGCCAGCCACTGAGTTCATGTCAGAGACAGTCCCTGTTCCCCTTACTAGGGTATCCACTTGGAGACCGAGCTGTCATGGGCTACATCCGTGTCCAAAATTTTGTAATAAAAATTGTGTGTGCGTGTGTGCATGTGTGTGTATGTGTGTGTGTGTGTGTGAGAGAGAGAGAGAGAGAGAGAGAGAGATTTGATGTTTTAACTTCACCATTCTTTTTTTTTTCTAGTCTTCTGAGGGGGGAAAAACTCATCTGGTTGTAACACAACTGGAGCACTCTGTTAAAATATGCAAACAGTTCTATCAAGAGAGAAAGATGACAAACTACAATGTGGAAAAGATTTAAATAATACCCTACTACTGCTGTTTGAAGAAGTGCTTAAATAAAGAAGACTGGAAAGAACAAAAATTTCTGGACTAAAAGCCGTCTATTGTACCAATTCACATTTGCCAATTCTTGGAGTTCTTGGAAAACTCTTGCCTACACCTGTATCTTGAAGTATTTTCAATTAAAAAGCTTCCACAAAACATAGGAACAACTACCTTAAAAAAAAAAAAATCTTTGCCAACTACTCATGAGACAGGGGATTAATATTGAGCATGTAGAAAGCAGAGCAAAAATTAAATACCAAAACACCAACATCACTTAGTCAATAAAGGATCTAATGAAATGAACAAGAAAAAACACGAATGACAAACAAAAGCTTTAAAAAGTAATTAACATTCCTTAGTCATCAGGGACATGTAAATGGAAACCACTTCAATTCCATCTTACCCCAGTTAGAATGGCTGTCATTAAGAAAACAAATGAAGACAAATGCTGGAGAGGATCCTGGGAAAGAGGTCTAACTATGTGCTGCCACTAAGGAAATCAGTATTGATGTTTCCCCCAAAAACTAAAAACAGAATTATTGTATGACTCAGCTGTACCAACTTTGAGTGTATACTGGGGTAACTAAAATACTATAGTGACTTGTACATCCATGTTTATTGTTGCACGACAGTAACCAAGGGAACCAGTGTAGCTAATTTGTCAACAGAGGAAGAGAAGACATGGCACATGAATACAGTAACATTTTATTTAGTCATAAGAAAAAATGAAATCATGACATCTGTAAGAAAATGAATATAACTGGAAATCATTACGTGAAGCAAAATAAGCTGGTCTTAGAAGACAGTTACCATATGCTTCCTATCATATGTGGGATCTAGATTTAAACATATATATTTATAGATACTGATGTATTAATATAGGCATGTATTTATATATGTATTTATACGTGATTGTGAGCAAGGAGCAAGAGATCTTAAAGACAGTGAGAAACAGAGATGGAAGTTGGGATTAACTAGAGAAAGAAAGAAAACCTTACTGGAAGGGAAGGGAACAATGGGGAAGGTAATGTAGGAGGAAAATTAATGAGAACAAACTGTAAGAACAAACAGGTCATAATAATTCAAGATAAAACCTATTACTTAGTACGCTAAAATTTTTAAAATAACAAAGGCAGTAACAAAGTTTAAGTATTTTTGATAGTGGTTTACTATAGACCCAGAGTGTTAGGAAAAGGAGTAATCACATGACCAAGTCTCCTTCTATTTTATACCAATCTTCTACACTGTGGAAGATAATCTGGAAGCTCAGGCAGTCTATGAGCATGTAAAAGTTTAATCTCAGCCTCAAAGACTACTGAAGTTCTTGCAAAGGGATAAGAGAAAAATGAAAATCTGGAACCCTACTGTCTACTCACTCCTGTTCCTTTCTCTCTCACTTCTATTTTCACTAAAAACTGAAGGCAGAATAGAGATTTTTTTTTATAAAGTCTGAGTATGTTTTCCACTACAGTCTGGACCCTAAGAATGGTTGCATGGAAGGATACTAAAAATAAACACAGACAGATAGAAAAAAAGCAGTGAACCAGAAGATGAATATATAAAACACTTTCCCTAATTTCCTTAAAAGTCTCCTAAATGTTAAAAGTAAAATTAATTTGAGCAGCAGGACAGACATCACACGCAGTATTGAGACATAGATGGTAGCAAGAGAAAAGGATGGGACTGTATTATCATCTTATGCTGGACAGATATAGCTAGTTCATCTATAATTAGTAATAAAATTCATGTCAGTCATTAAAATTACTTGCTTACTACAAAATAAAGTTTGGATGGAAAACAAAATAGAAGCAAAATAGAAAAATAGCGGTCTATAAGATTTAAGGACGGGGGCTGGAGAAATGGCTCAGTGGTTAAGAGCACACTGTTTGCTCTTCCAGAGGTCCTGAGTTCAATTCCCAGCAACCACATGGTGGCTCACAACCATCTACACCCTCTACTGCCCTCTTAGAGCACTAATATGCATTAAATAAATAAATAAATAAATAAATAAATAAATAAATAAATAAATAAA